ATTGCTATTATATTTTGTTAAGGTAATTTTTTCGATTGGGGTTAGTTTTTCACTAAAACAAAGCATAGTTAATAAAAACGGGCGTCATAGCCAAAACTCCTGTTTTATCCCACATCCCCTTCAAATCCCGCTCATGCTCTAAAAATCCTGTTTTTGAGGTAATAATCACACGTATGGAAACACTGCTAGTACCGCAATGCGCAGAAGGATAGGCCTACATTCATTGTTTCAATTTCAATACGATACTGAATACAATTCCTCATTGAATTTATACCAATACTGATTCAACCTTTAATAAACTAAAAAAAACTGCACTTGTAGGTGTTTATAAACAAAATTTTATCCTGTTAGTTGAAACATTTAATAGTTTAGTTTGGTACTACTTTTTGTCTCCGGTACAAGCATGGTAGTTTTTTTTCCAATATCACATGTTTCTTCCGATATAAGCCGATGATATCGCAAGCAAAATATCGATATATATCAGTATCAGAAGCACCGTATCGTCTATCTGCTAGTGTCAAGTCAAGGCCAAGTAGAACATAAAGTGTGAGGTTAAGTTAGTTGGTACTCTAAATTTTCCAGATTCCAGATGTTTAATTCTTTTCTTATTGGTTTTATGAGTAAACTATTTAGGCCTACATTTTTTCTAATAATTCTTGATTCTGACTATTTGATTTCGTCTTACGGTATACCTGGAAAAAGTATAATATCAGTCTGGAAAACCTGTGAAAGTCAGGGAATTTCATTTTCCAAAATCAGTACCAACCCTGATTTTCTTGGAGTTTGGCTGTTTACTTAACAGACTCAGTTTATATTGCTGCTATATAGAAACAATTTCTGTTTTCAATACATGCATTGTGGGTCTAAATTATCCCTCTTTTTGTCCTGAGGTCAAAAAACATTGAGCTAGAGTCGAGGACATCAGCTTTTCATTTTCTCTAGTTGTAAACGTCGATTTAAAACTTACTGGATTATAAAGAGTAGTGTTGATTGTGTTTATTGGTTGTAGTAGGTCGGGGAACCTATATTGTTTTATTGCTGTTGACTATAGTCGACTAGATCATAGATTATCTGTAAGACTGTGACGGGTGGCGTCATACTGTAATCCAGCTACTAGAAGTTCACAAATTGTGGATATATATAGGCATGCACTGTGGATGCGATACTCCCTGGTGTGGATTAACGTCCGTACGAGTGAATACTACGACTATCCGCAGTACTATCCTGATAATTATCTAGACCAATTTGTATATACCAAGGCAAAAATGTGGTTCGGATTCCACTATAAACTGTAGGTCCCTTAGTTGCCATTAGCTGTATGGGCTATTAATTAACAGCTGTGTCTAAGGAATATGTTGGCCTTAGTCACTAACAAGACTAAAGGCTGTCTCATGTTAAGTTGAGGCAGACTACCTGATCAGAGGGTATAGCAGGACAATGGCTAGACCGAACCTTCGACGGACCCTCCCGAGAAGAAGGGAATTAATCTTAAAAAGGGGATTAACCTTTTATTATTATATTATTATTATGTATTAAATTTATTATTTATTAAATTATATTATATTATTTATTATTATATTATATATTGAATTAATCTTTTAAGGGAATTTATTTTACACACTTGGAGTAAATCCCATTACCCACGCTTCACTGAATACTTCACTTAAAAGCGTAAATATATTGATTAATTGAAAATACTGTATAATCAATTCGTCATATCTGAAAATAATGTATTCTAGGTTATAAAAAAACAAAATTTTTCATGTTCAGGTAGTCAGCCTCAACCTAACATGAGACAGCCTTTACAAGATCGCGCCACTCATCCTACACTCATCTCCATTCATACTTGGCTTAAAATACCTACTTTTTATGGTCGCCATTTTATTGAAAATTTGTTTACTTTGAATCTAACAAGATGAGTGGGGAAGTAGCTTTCCACAGCATAAAGCCCAAGAAATTCAGGAAAGTTTACTATCAGCTAAAAGATTAATTAAATATTTAATTTCACCTCTAGGGGACGATAAGCTAAAAGATAACGATATTCACAGCAGGGAGTACAGTTCCAGATAGCTGTAGTGTAACTAGGCACTCGATTATTGTCAGTATGTTGACCAGTTTCAGTGGTGTTTACGAATGATTGTAGTAGTTGTAATAAAATATAATCAAGGATATTTAAAGGATTTTTAGACGATTGTTCAGTAAGTGATGAAAATATAAACCCACCATTTTGCTGTATAGGTAATAAAGTATAAAACTGCCCAATAATAGTGTAATTTTAAGCTCACTCATAACCTATAGTAACTTGTAATGGTACAGCAAGCAAACAAATCTTTTATAAATTTATCCATTTGCCAAAATTTGAATCTTACTTTAACCCTTCCAGTGCTATGAAACGATACATCGTTGTTTAAAAAAATCTCTTAGGGATATAGAGAGGGAGGTTATTTTTACAAAAAGTAGCAAAACGGCCATTGGTGACCTGCATGTTCATAGGATACACCAACAACCACTTAGCTAAAAGATTCGCCCAATCCGATGATTTCGAGGTGTATGTCTAAACCAAGGATTATGTACACCTCACTATGCTTCAGTGGTTGTAGTATATCGCTACAAACACACAGGTCACCAATTATTTGCCACACAGGACGGGAATCGAACCCGAGCAGACGAATGCCACTGGCTAAGTGACACATGCCCTAGCCTTCTCGGCTATCTGTGCTTGAAGACTGAGGAGTTAAAAACCGGTATTCAAGCTGACGCCACCGATTGCGAACAGATAGCGCTACAGATGGTTGTTCAATGCGTTACTAGGTAGCAGCACTAGTTAGTCACGGACTATTTAGATGATATTTTTTCAGTTGAAACACAACAGTGATCATAAATGTGTTCCTGAAACTTTGCTGCAAAACATTATTTTCCCTAAAATGGCTATATTACGATAACCTCGTCCAACTAAATCAAAGTTAAATTCAATATTACATTGTAAACTATATGTCTTTTGATTTTATGAGATTTTGGTTTCAAACAATGCTATCATAACATAGAAATGTAGGCTATAGGAAAACCAGGAAAATTACAACAAAACTACCATACCAGGATTTATCTTTGTTATATATTTTCTTATTGTCTTATTATTCAAAATTAGCCTAATTAATAAAATAGTGACAACATTACAGTTAAAATTCAACAACAGGTAATGGAATTGAAAGGCAAACAAAACAGTCTACGAAATACAAATTATTGGCCTAGCACTGAAAGGGTTAAAAGAAGCAATATTTAATAAATATTCTTTATTGCAAGGGTTTAAAATAGCGTTAATTATAGTTATAGTTCATCTAGTACATTAACACTTAATCGGAATAGACTAAATAATAAATTAAGGAAACAAGATAGGGTTTATTTCCAAAGCAAACTTATGAAAGTAGTAATGAATATTTGCATTTTGTAACTTAACTTGCTTAAATAATGGTGCAGTATGAGGAATAATTTTAATATAATATAACAAGTTCAACTAGGCAAAAATCTCTTTTTGGCCTTAGCTATTTTCTGTGTCGCAGCATTTCAATGTGTAAAAAACAGATTGAACTTATCAAATTTGTCACACTTGATACACTAAACAACACATATCATGATATAGTATATACAATGTATTCAATATAAAAGTGTAAAGAAATCAACTTCAGATAAATAAAGCACTTGCCACTCACCTGAACCATGGGTTAACATAATGGATTTTATTTTAGCTCATACACCTATTATTTGAGAATATACAGGTATAACTATAATATTATGGCATAATTACCTCGTCAAGTAATCCAAATGTTGCTGATTTGAGGTTGAAAACCTATATGTTTCACCGTTATTACCTCACATCAGCAACATTTGGATTACTTGGTGAGGTAATTATACCATAAATAGTCATTTATAGTAATCCAAGGGCCATCAACATGGAATTTAATACTGGTATAAATCACAATAATGATACATCAAGTACACATTGGAAATTGAAAACGTGAAAATTTGTGTAACTCGGTTATTTCAAACATGTCATTTGATTATACTATCCTAGTAGACTTGGAAAAACATGTTGGAAATTGTTTGTGGTTTGAACTCCTAAAACGTACAAGTACCATATTTGGACTAAATCAAAGTAGGTCTATTATTTTTACTAAACTATGTTTTTATAAAAGTATTACTTGAGAGTTAGCTGGACATCAACAGTTAGCTTTGTATTTATATGAAATAATTATTTACATTGTAAACTCGTTTATTCTTTTTAAATACTAGTGGCAGTTTTTCTTTTGCCAAGTATAATGGAATTTTTGTATTTTATTTGTTTGTGCAAAATTTATGCCATTGAATACCAGAATATTTATTTTAGAAAGACTTTAAGGGCACAAATATTTGTTTGTTGTTGTTGTCATTTTAAAATATCTATAAATTATGCCACAAAAAATGCTGCTAATTCAATCTGAATAAACTAATGATTAGTTTTGCTGGGGTTTATCCATGCCCATAGAAGGTTAGAGTCTGATAAAGAACAATCAAAGTATGACCTTTTGTATGCATCATGCACATTTTTTTAGGGATCCTTAAGGTTTGCTACACAGGGCAGGCCTAAGACAGAACAACTTAATGAAAGAGTGTTATAGAAGCACAGACTTGTATGCTATGCTGCTAAATATACGCCATTAAATCATTAAAAAATTACAACAAACATGACATCAAACCTTTTGCAAATACAACACTGCTTTAACTTGTAATACTACAACAACAAGATATGTTTATTACTGGTTATGTATAGTTACTATGGATACTGTAGATTTTATACTTATTTTGTCAATTGCTAGTGATGTAATACTTAAGACTTAAAATTCTATCATAAAGGCAATGTCATTGCAAATTAAGGTTTTATCTCTAAGCTTGACCTTGCTATTCATCAATGTCTAGCAGTTCAGAGATCATCATGTCAACGACCTAATCTTCTTACTTTGTTTCAGATCTAAATTGGATATTGGGAGTTAAAATGTACGCCTTCCAACCAACCGTAAATTATCAGGATCGTCTTTAAAAAACGCACAGTACTGATCAATAGAACCGTGATAGCCGTTTTACATAGACCCATTAGTGTTAAGTATAACCTTCCAAAGAAATCACTGCCAAAAGATACTTTAACCAAATAGCAACACCAAAGCTGAAAGATCATATTTATTAGTAATCTGTGGGTAATGAGGGGACGATGAAAATTTCTGTGAGTGATAAGCCTAGATAGTGAAGTGTGAGTAAGTGACAGTGATAGATACAATGAGTTCCAACGCGGAACGTGATGTTTACGTTCCTGTCAGTCAGTTTTTCCAGAACCGGTCCGTATTCGTGACAGGAGGGACGGGGTTCATGGGCAAGGTGTTGGTGGAGAAGCTACTTAGGTCATGTCCTGGAATCAAAAACATCTATTTACTAATGAGGCCTAAGAGAGGTCAAGATATTGACACCAGGCTCACTGAACTCATAAATGCCCCGGTGAGTACCATTTTTGAATATTTCTTCATAAATCTTATTGTTTTCTGTTTTTAATCAATTGAATTTCTAAATGGAAGAGCAGCGATTAGTCATGTCCTCATGGCAAGATGTAGTTCCAAAACTACCGTTGTTGTTTTAGTCGAGGTTCCTCAGAAGTCATAAGCCATTTTTATTTATAGCCCTTATGAGTATGTGCCCGTAGACACAGTTGCTCTTGTACAAACCAATAAAAACTGAAAAATTGTTATAAAATGAGACTTTGTACAAACTACCTGTAGGCAGAGGGAATTGTCGATTTGGGAGGATATGTACCTCAAAATAGGCTTTTGTTTTTTGCCTCTTAAGTATTTAAACGGGTTTTTCCTCCATTCCAATTAGCTTTGAAACACTTACAATTGAATACATTTTTAACCTACAGCTATTGGGTTGGCCTGAGTGAATTAATAGTGGCTACAACCATTCTTGTCTTCTATGTTATCCTTTTGGAAAACTAATCACTTTACGTTGATAGTTTGATTATTCATATATCTTTATAACATTTTGGATGTTTCTACTTCATTGTATGCTTTTAAAATGTAATCTGTAAACCACTTAAATGTGTTATTCATATCAGATAACTCTAAAGTACCGGTACTCATTGAGCCTATGTGTTTTGTAGTGGGTGTTAATCTAACAGTAAACATCCTTTAATTTTAAACCTGTTCAGTGTTCATATAAACTTACTAGAAAACAACTGGTAATTTTCTGAGGCTGTAGGTATGCTGTGAAGAGGGCATTAAAAAGTTTAAATCAAAGTTACTTAGTAACACGTCCAAGCTCTAAAGTGTTCTTAAGAATCATAAGACATTTTTGATCATTTTATTTCTTTTAGAACTTAAAAGTCATTGGAAAACGTCTAATTCTAATACATTATGAAATATATACATCAAAGGATCATTATACAAACAAAACAATTCCTTCAACATAATCTGAAACAGAAAAGGAAATATATCATAGTGTCAGGTTACAAGTGAAATAGTACCTGAAACTCGCCATGTAAAGAGTGAAAAACCAAACAGCACACTTGGCAAACCACCAGTAAAAAAAGTACTTACTTATTCTTTTTTTTTAGTTAAAAAAATTAGTCAATACTGTCAAATGGGTTGGCCAGGAGGAGACATTCCACACCCCTTTTGTAACTGTTTGCTTGGAAGGTTCCGGGCTGAACAAGAGAACAAACATATTAAATAGTTCAAGACTTACTATGTCATAGTTTATTTCTAATTTCTTAAGCCTAACAAAGGGTACATTTACATCATGTAAAACTTCTCTTATTGTACGAGTGGATGTCGCTCCTGAGCTCGAGAGTTGTCCCCTAGTAGTTTTATGGTATTGATTATCTTATTAGAGAAAACACATTTTCATAGTACTCAATAATCTCCTTTATGATGATACTGCATTGCCTTTATTTCCGGTGTATTTGATTTAAAACTGTTATTGTAAAAAGAGTTACTGAAGAATTTCTAACTTATTTGAAATCATACTTCCTAACATGATACCGTTATCTTTAAACTTTGCATTAAAAATAACCCTAACCAACTATGAGTCAAACACGAGTCACAATATGAGTAAGGCTTTACAAAATTAGTAGTGCTTGGCAAATATTTCAGGGCTATAGTTAAAATGTTTTAAGCACTTCCAGCTTTGTAAACCTACAACATGTAAAGTCAATTAAAATTATGTTCTTGGATATGATTGTCCTAGCACATGTTTAATGCCTGAAGTGTATAATTTTTGACTTTTAAGTGCTTTTTGTTTTGTTTGTTGTAACAACATAGAAAGTCAATTAGGTTTTAAACATCCGAGTACCTGAAAAAAATAATACAATAGGATTGCTTCAGTTAAGTGCTTCCTGAGTTGTTAACTATCAACATAGAAAGTCAATTTTGTTGTCCAACATCTGTAAAAAAAAGTTTAAAAATGCAATAAATATTTCCATAAGTCCCTAATATTTATCCCTGGATAGTTAGGAATCTAATCAATATATTTCTTAGTATTAAGTATCCTATAGCCTACCTGTCAGATATTAGGCCTACTGTACATTATTTGACCAAAAAAATCCTGCATACCTTCCTAAATTTATTGTTTAACATTAACATGCCTTCGTACTCAGGAAACAACTTCAATCAATCAATCAATCAAATCATTCTTTATTCAATAAAACACAGAGTACATGTGTTGAATAGAGTCAAAACAATAGCGTATTTCTAAGTAGCCTACACCGTGAAGATAAAATACTCCCGCCGCAGCAAACCTGCCGACTAAGCGAATTTCCATTTGTCTGAATTTAAAGAATAAAGATTTTAAATGGCCGCCATCACAGAAAACATACTACCATAACCCAGAATGCCAACCGCATGGTAAAAAGGGTTTTACTTTGAGAGAGCTTTGCCTGTCAATTCGTAGGCAGCGCCACATGCGGTTGGCATTCTGGGTTATAGTAGTATGTTTTCTGTGCCGCCATATTAAAACGGCTTGAGGTAATGGAACAAACTTTTCACAGTTCTTTTTACTTTCAGAACTACACATTCATACCAAATTTTAAATCTCTATTTAGAAAAATGCCCAAGATATAAAATAATTTATAAAAATCACAAACAGACCGACAGACAGAAATCTAGGCACTTTAGACCCATACTTATATGGTGTTTTATGTTTGTCTTAGCCTAGGGAACAAGCCCACAAAATATGGCCAGACAAATCGGAAACACCCCGTATATACATATATATACAGTCTATATAAATTTGAACAAATTTTTTTTGGGCCTCTGGGCACATCAAAATTAAGAAGTAAATCGGTCCTGGGCCTAGGTCTTACCGTGTTACCTACGGTAATACCTACTTCCCTATAGGGAAATTCGCTAAAACCTATTATATTTATTTATAAAATCAGTTTTGCTTTATCATTCAGAAAACATCCTTTTAGCAAACCATTTCTAAAGCCGTGTTTTCCTAGTGACGCACTTTCTACGTGGCGTACAACGTTTAACGCTGACGTATAACGTACATAATTCGCGGCGTACAAGTGTTCTCCTAGAAATGTTCAGTACAGCTGCGTCATTAGCAAGATAGCTTCAAGATGAGCTCGCGGAAGAGAAAACAAATATGCTCTTGAGGGAGTATTTAGACGAGATTGATGAAGAAGTTAATGTTATAACGAGAAAGTATTGTTCATTTAGAAGTCAAACCAGTGACGTGTAAAATTTTACAGAGGACGAGGGTGTCTTTCAGTTGTTAATAAATTGACGTATGAACCTTGTAACAGAGTAAAACGACCAATTTCAACAGCTGAGAAACTTGCTCTTGCCTTAGGTTATGTGCAATAAAATAATAGGCTACTACTTTAAAAGTTTCTCATAATAATTTAAAGGAAACAGCAAAGCAAATAAAAATCCCGAACATGTGAGAGAATTACAGGCTCTGCACAGGGAAGTGCTGTGAATTGCGCGGCGTACAACCGAACTGACTGGTCTGGTCCCAGTCACCCTGTTGCGTGGCTCATCCTGCGCTGGCGCACAACCGAATGACGCTCCTAGGAAAACAATCAATAGCGTCTGCTGTTTCTGACTGGGTAGCGCGAAAAATGTGTTTTATGCCGCGTAGAAAGTGCGTCACTAGGAAAACACAGTTTAAACATTTCTTGGTAACAGAGAATTCTCATAAGCTATATAAATACCCCCGCTGCAGCAAACCTGCCGACTAAGCGAATTTCCATTTGTCTGAATTGATTTTCAGTTAAATATATTTTAATAACATTAGGTTTAACGAGTACCTAGGTTTGCTGCTACAAGGAAACTAATAAAGTGTGTTTTTGAGTAAAATATTGATTGCTTATACAAAATAAATAAATTTGCCAAATTTGATCAAAAAATATCCATAAACAAGCAAACTACAACATTTGACAATATTCTCCTTAAGAATAACATGGTAATTTTAAATTTACAATTTTTTTAATTTTCTCGGTAACTAATAATCGAACAGAAATACTTTTATATACAAAATTATTTGTTTTTTTAAGCTCTTTAAAAAGGTCTTAAGAGGAATTGTGAAATTTTGTGTTTTAAGGGTCAAAAGTGAGAAAAACCAATTTTTACCCCATAAAACCCCCCGTAAAGCCCCGTTCCCATGGTCCGATCGTGCTGGTTCGCGAACTCATTCAAGTTTATCCCACTTTACACCTTTAAACCAAATTTCATCAAAATCGGACAAAAATTACTCAAGTTATCGCGTTCACGGACGTATATATATATATATAAATCTATATATATATATATATATATATATATATATACATATATAAAAATTTGAACGAATGGTGTTTTTGGCCTCTGGGGACATCAAAATGAAAAAGTAAATCGGTCTCGGGTCTAGGTCTTACCGTGCCACCTACGGTAATAGCTACTTCCCTATAGGGAAATTAGCTAAAACTGAAAATGGCCTCGCAAACTGCATTATTTTAATCTGGTTCTGACTGAATTGCTGCATTTCCGTTTAATTGTCAGGAAATTCACACGCAAAAACAGTTGTTTGTAATAAGCTTGGAAATATGTGATAATTACTGATTGCTCCCTGGAGGAATAAATATGAGTTATTTAATTTATAATTTAAACTATGAATTAAAATCTAGATTATTTTTCTTGTAGTATTATTTTATAGATGTGAAGAAATTCCGAGGTAGGCTTACTTACCTTGAAATCCCATTTTTAATCACAGCATATTAGCGAATTTCCCATATAGGAAATAAGCTATTACCGTAGGTAATAATGCCTTAAATAAATTCATAAATTCATAAATTCCATATATGAATTTGAACGGAGGGTGTTTTTGGCCTCTGGGGACCTCAAAATGAAAAAAGTAAATTCTCACGTCCAGGTCTTACCATGAGTACTACGGTAATAGCTTAAATTCCCTATAACTTAAAGGAAATTCGCTAAAAAGTAAATAAATAAAAAAGTTCCCTTAGAGTTGTGTTATGGAATTCAAATTTATATATTTCATAAAATCTAATATAGGTTCATAAGTCGTTTAGATAGGCCTACTTTTTTAGTAGGCCTAATTTTGAAATTAACAAGTGTTATATGTTTGGTTTGTTGGATAATTTAAAATGTTACCCGCGTGGCCTATATGAAGTTTGATACAAGAACCAACGTTACTAAATGGTGGTCCAGAGCATTGTTCCAATGAAAAAAATAGTATGATGAGGCTCTTCCTCATTAGTGAACCGATTATATCTAGAGCGGTGTCTTTTTGTAGAGGACTACTGTAGTCCCACATAACCTTTGACAAGCTATCTGCATTCAAAGTATAATCTAACTTGTGTTATAAAATTTGATTGATTATGAAAATAAGCTATTCTGGTTAGGCATAGAAAAAACCATTTAAGTTAATTGAGAGGATGTTTTCACAATCAAATGTATCATGAAGTAGTATAACACAGTTTATTTATTATATATACAGTAAACATGTCCTTTGTTGAAGCTTGGGTACAGTATAAATGAGTTATGTTGGCACAGTTATATGGCACTAGTGTAGCTGCAATATAACCAATCAGATGATAACATTTTGTATTTTGCCAGTATTAATCTCGATTTACATGATAAACATTTTTGATTAGATTTCCTTTTCAAAAATTAATCAGGCTGCTAGCTGGAGTAAAATTTTGTTATACAGTGGAAACTCAATAAACCACCATTCTTTTAAACACCAATTTTTGTTATATACATATATATATATATATATATAGGCTATATATGTCACCTCAAAGATTTGCATTTTAGGCCTATAGCATATTACGTTAGGTATTTATCGTATTGTAAAGTAATTTATTGTTTCTGTTTGCATATGGTAATCATGTCTATTTTGAATTGTACCTGTTTGAATTGGCAATTCGCCGTTGAAATAAATGAAATGAAAGGTACTAGTCCTGAAAATAGGGGTTTACCGGACAAGTGTGGTCGTTCCCGTGTGAGACGAAGTCGAGTGCGAGATTACCATACGAGCCTGGTAAACACATTTTGGACGAGTGAGGTACGAGATTTTACTTCATACTACTCTAAGCTAACTTAACAATAAATAATATATTTATAAATCCTTATATATTCCCACCGACTAAAGGATTAACAATCACTACTCATAACCTCTAAGAGAGGTTTTTCTTTGTTTATAACCACTCATTTTCAAATATAGCTTATCAGCTGGTTGGTGTCTGGTAAAAACTCATTACAGTTAGTAGTACAACTAAACCCCATTTGATTATGCTGGCGGCAAACAGCTGTTTTCTGGATAAAATCCATGTGTGGGAATTTTGTTAAAACAGTGTAGTGTAGCATAAACAATTTTTACTATGTAGGGTTTTGCTGCACCGCTGGTTTTTTTCTTACTTTACAGAATCAGAATCGTTTTATTGTCCTTCAACATTTACCTACCAAAAATGCAATAGACAAAAGTCAACAAAAATTAAGCGATTACATAATCAACCTATGTGCATTAAGCATGTACGGTATACTGTAGATAAGTGACACTATGTGTAATTCACTTGTAGGCCTGCACTGTGTTATTTCCTTTAAACTCATTTTAACCTTCCAAAATCTAGCCCAAAGTTTTTATTTAACAAACAACGCAAATTATGTACATTTATGTACAGTAGAGCCTCAATAAAAAGGGTCTTAAAGGGATTAGGGAAGCAATTTACTTATCTAGCTAATTTTAGCAGTCGCGTTACACTGTTAGTGAAAGTACTATGTATCGTTATAACAAGTGCATTTTCAGAGCAACACTTGTGCTAACATGTCTATTTCTTTTAAGTTATAGTGCTAGTGCAGTAGGCCTACTGTTAATATTGCGTAACAATTTAAATTAGGCTATTAAATAAAATGATAAGTTAATCAAAAACTCTTAGCATTTGACTTTTTTGCATCTAGAGTTTTCTTGTTTTTGGATTTCCTCCTACATTTTAAATTACTTTTCCTTTGAATTCTACAGCTAACATGATTTACACACAACAGGCTTACAATTCAGTACATTCATAACTCACAAACACAAACAACATGATACTGGACTTAATATACAACAATGCAAGATCAGTACTGTCTAGCCTATTAAAAAAACAAACACAAAAACATAAAAGGCTTGAATGAAAACTGATTCGTTCATTGAGTTGCTAGTATCATTAAAATATGGATATGAACACAAAATTATTTTGTTCCTTGAATATTTTTTGGTCTACAAAATGCTCCTCATTTGTCAAACGTAAAAATTCAATTTCTCCACCAAGCACAACATCAAAGTTGCTGGATGCTTTCAACCAAGGCATGATCCCAAATTACAAAAGGAATCTTATCTTGCGTACAAACATGATTAATGAACTCTTCGTAATTTAAATTGTTTTTTTTTACCAATAAATCAAACCTCTTGATAGTTCATAATTGTTGATAGTTCAAATGTATTTGCTTCATCCTTAAATTTCAAACTATCAAAAGTACTGTAATTAGAACTTGTCAGTTGACTCAGAAAATACACGCAACTGGTCTGTAAACAAACTAATGTTTTTACTGTTTTGAGAAAGGAAAGTGAGTTAGGAGCAGGCTTGAGTGAGGGTTTGAAGACTCTCACTCAACTACTCCTACTACCTACTCCTACTACTTACTCTTGTTCAAGTAGCTTAGTATGAATGAGTGGAAATCGACAATGTCCCTCCAAAACATTCAGTCTAGTGAATTTTGATGGAAACTGTTCAATACAGTTACGTCAAGAGTCATGTTATCAAGGTTGACTTCTCAAAACAAATTGTTTTAGAGAAATTGAGTTACATTGTGATGAAGAAAAAAAACTTGTTATTATTGTTGTTTTTATAAAAATGGTCTGGTCGTTTTACAGAGGTTAAATTATTGTTAAGTGTTAAAAAGATTTCAAGGGAGTTGGAAAGGTGCATTTGTAATTGAGGTTGTCATGTTATTGAGGAAACATAGTTCTATTGTATTTAAATGAATGAATAATACGTATTTGGCTACTGTAGTAAATTTATCTTGATTAATTATTTTACCAACATGATTTGAACGAAACTAACACATGTGATACTTTTCATCTATTGGTATTCTAGTTTTTCATGATTAACAACTATTTTTTTGCCAACAGCTATTTGATCGGTTAAGAAGGGAGCGGCCGACGGAGCTGTATAAGATCGTCCCAATCCTAGGAGACATTACGGAGCCGGAATTAGGCATCAGTGCTACGGACCAGGAGATGCTGGCTCGCTCTGTCTCGGTATGTATCATAGACAGTAGACACAATCTAATTTGAACACTGAGATAACCTTAGAGTAGCTAAGACTTTTTTAGGTACTTTGGTATTATCCGGAGGCCACCCTTATACATCGCGCTGCAGCGGCTATGTTAGGTTGGGTTATCATAAATAAGTTTGCAGGACTTTCCTCGTTTCGTTATGAATCAAACGATACCAGATGAGTCATACTTTCACCCGGCAAATCCCCTCCAAGTAGGCCAAGGTCAGGTCGTTGCCCGGGGCGCGCGCATCACCTGTCACCGCGCCTGTATCTGTGCCAGTGTCCTGAGCAATGACTCTTCTGGTATCGTTCGGTTCATAAAGAAACGAGAAAAGTCTTACAAACATATTTATGATAACCTCACCTAACATAACCACCGCAGCACGCTGTATACCTACTTGGCAGAGTACATGTGGCAGCTAGCGGCGGCGGCACATTCAACTCAATCCTCGCAGACATCGCTGTCTTCTGGGAGGCAGAACTCGAAGGCCGCTTATCGTAATCATGTCAAATTTGGACAGTAAGTCAATTAAAGTATGTTCTTTTCAATTATGTAGTTTTTTTATCTCCGGTAAAAAAACCCCTCTAAAATAAGTGGCCTCCGGATAATACCAAAGTTCCCTTTTAACTTTTTTAGCATTATCATATTGTGCTCACTAAGACACATTACACATATTTGAAACCCCACTTAGCGGCACATCCAGCGCAGTGTGCACAAAATCTGGCATTTTCTAAAATTGTTGGAGGATTTGTTTTTTATAGAAGAGAGTAGGGGTTTAAAGATTCATCTAAGGGGCTCATCTAAGACGTATATTTTAGTCTTACATTCATCCTTACTAGTCAAGTCTGTTTGTATAGTTACAATGGATTGTTTGACCTATCATGGACCTGACCAGTGTGCAGTCAGTTGAAGGTTTGAATTAAAAAATATAATTTCTTGTTTGCTTCGTAGGTGGTGTTCCACTCAGCTGCTACGGTCAAATTTGATGAAGCACTAAAACTGTCAGTGACCATCAACATGTTGGGAACCAAACGGCTAGTTGAGCTATGTCACAAAATGATGAGTTTAGAGGTAAGACTAAGGCAATGTTATTTAAAAAAAAATTATTTCCAAAAAATACAAATTTACACAAGTCATACAATTTAGCTACAAAAGCCATTTATGGCTTATCTGCAGCAATTATTATAGTTTTCGTTATTTCACAATGCTTATTTATTTAATCAGTCTTTTTATTCAATCACTCTTTTGGTTTCCCTTGTTTTTCTGTAAGTAAACTACCAGAATACAATAATATACCAAAATAAATAACAAACCAATTATAGAATTTAAAGTAGTCAAACAATGAAAAAAGTAAAAATTAACAAACATTTGTAGCAGTGAACAACAATGAAAAAATAGAATGAAACACAGTTATTTTCATCTCAGATCTAGATATAAATTCTTTAACTTTATCTTTAAAACTCTACAGTAATATACATTCCTGTGCCGGTAAACTATTTAACAAGAATGAAACTAAATATTCCCTTGTTTTTTTTGAATATTTATTTATTGTTCTAGGCACAATAAAGAACATTTGCCTTGAGTTGTAACTATGCACATTAAGGTTTTTGATCTCATTTGAAAAATTATAATCTGTTGTAATTAAAAATTTTATCAGTCCTCAACTGGCAAAACGTTGACCAATTGATAACCTAGCATGGGATTTTCAACCAGATCAGCAGAATGAAGCTCAGTCATTGTTTTGATTATCCTTCTTTGCACGGTTTTCAGTTGCATTATGGCTGTGTTTGATGTTGCTCCCCACGACCTTACACCATATCTAAGCAATAATTCACACAGGTTTGAATATACCAATTTCATTGTTTTTAGTGGCAGGTATTGTCTGATTTAGACCATAGATACTCACTCGCATCTTTTTATTATTAGTTATCAAATAAATTTATTTATAATAATACAAATATATAATAATACTAGCTGTACCCGCGGGCTTTGCCCCGTTTAACTTCATAAGTGAGCTCGTTCGCATGGCTCAATCACGTCCTGGTTGAACCCGCGGGCTTTGCCCCGTTTAACTTGATAAGTGAGCTCGTTCGCATGGCTCAATCACGTCCTGGTTGAAGTTCGTTCGCTACGATCACTCACTTTTAGGTTAGAGCTCGTTCGCTGCGCTCACTTGCCTTCAGGTTAGCTCGTTCGCTACGCTAACTTGCCTCCATGTTGAAGTTTGTTCGCCACGCTCACTCACCTTTTGGTTGCAAATTAGCTGTTGTCATAAATGTAAAAGAAATAATAGTGCTGCACCCTGTTGGTAATCCTTGTAACTTTAATGCTATTGAACATCATAGAACAGAACCAACTTAATTGAAACAGCTGTTAAGATTCATTAATTCCATTTAAATATGAGTACTCATATGGTTAACATGGGAAACTCCAGAGCCACTGGGGCGGAGCCCAGAGGTCGGAGGGTAAAATCCTTTCTTAGTGAGCGTCTACTACCCAAAAGGAAGATGCCTGCCAAGTTTCAGGTTCCTAGGTCTTATGGTTTCTGAGATTTCGTGATGAGTGAGTGAATGGTATTTGAGCTTTATATATATAGATAATGTAATAAATTTGCTCAGATTTCTCAGACTAAAGATGACTTAAGTCCTAGAACACTAAAACACCTACAACCATCTGTATTGTTGCATGACTGAAAGGTGTAATGGAATGGTTCCGTCGAGTAGGCCATTCTGTTAACATTTTCCTTTACGTGTAATATTTCCGCAGGTTCTAATCCACGTGTCGACAGCGTACTGCAATTGTGATAGAGAGGAGGTGAGTGAGATGATCTACCCTCCTCCTTTTGACCCAGAACACATCATTGACTGTGTCAGTTGGATGGATGACTCGCTGGTCGATGTCCTCACACCCAAGTAAGTGAAAAAGGACTCTAGGGCAGAATTTGTAATTTATGTTTAAAAAGAAGAACATTTTTACCCTTACCTTTATTAGCTATTTAAAGTAGTATGTTCAGTATTTATAGTAGTTTACACAACGATTGTGTAAAGATAGTGTTAACGGCACGGGTAGAAAATTTAAGGTACGAGCCTTGGCGAGTGCCTTAGAAACATCTACGAGTGTCGTTAACACTATTTACGTTGCGTACACTACTTTACCTACAACAGTGTTTTAATCACCTACTAAAAATCATTACTCACAACTTCTAATAGAGGTTATGTTTTCGTTTAAACCTCTCATTGCCACTGACAGTGATGCAATGAAACATTGTACCAAACACTAACTGCACCACTCAACAATTAAATTGTCCTGAGCAGCTGATTAGTTGAAGTTTGAATCATCACAATTGTACTTCTTCTCTCACAATCCTTGAACCTCATTGGTCCGTTACCCGTGTTGTTATGAGTAAAACTATGCTGTTATGAAAGAAAACAATGCTGTTATGTGAAACTTTTCAATTCTAAGAACTGAACTGAAACGGCTACTTTAAAAAACGGTCATAGATAAACATAAATTTACAAACCATGTGAATAACTCACAGCTACGCCAATCTCTCCTTAGTTTTTGCCTCGTTTGGTATTATATCATACTTACTTATGTCTTTGATGTGTATGGTAATATTGTAATACCGCCCACACAACTAACTACTCACTTTCAGCGATGTTTAGGGTTCGGATCCTGGTCACTGCCATAAACATTTTATCAGTACAGTTCACCTTCGTACTATACAGGCTCACCCCTTGCTTTGCTGAATACGTTCCACACACGGGCAGTTAGTCTATGTGGACAAGCAAATGCAAGGTTAAAATAGGCCGCCAACCTCTTAAAAAAAATTGGTCAACAGGTCAACATAGAAACACATTTATGGTATTTATTATCGTAATTTATAGAAAACTACATAATTTTCAAATGTAAGCTGATTTAAACTAAAAGAATTTTGCTCTATTAATTAGCAATTCATGCAAATTACAAATGTAAGTGTAGTAAACACTTTTTTAGGTAAAAGGCTGCTCTATTTGTTTCGGTCATAACTGTTTGGATTTTGTGACACTTAAAAATGACTTTAAGGGTGTAGCATAGAGCACAAGGGCCTAGATTTTTTAGGATTTTTTGAGAGGATAGCAGGCTTACCTGAATGGGAAAGAGTCCAAACTGGCACAGGAAACTTTGTTTTGTGTTTCCTGTGCCAGTTTGGACTCTTTCCCATTCAGGTAAGCCTGCTATCCTCTCAAAAAATCCTTAAAAATGACTTTAATTGTCATACAGTAGATGCTACGATACATAAATTAATTTTTGCTTTGGGATGGTATGAAATGTTCAACTTTTTAAAAATTATTGATTTATGTATGTTTTTGGTAGTGGCCGAAGTGTTAAATGTTACTTAACTTGGATATTATAAGACTAGTTGATGGTTTCGGACATAGGAAATAAATAATTTTCCCTCCTCCAAATAGTATATCCAACTGGTGTTGCCAACTATGAAGTCTTTGTTTGCACCCCAACACATTATAGTCTAAATCCCTCACAGCCCAAGTCTCCTATATGTGCTTTTGTGTAATATTTTAGTAGACTTTCTCTGATAAGGGGTTTTTCAACTGCTGTTGAAACCATCAGCAGCGCATTCAATACATACATTGTGTTGATTGTGGCTTTTTTACTTCTTACAAAAAGAAAGACAAAGAAAGAACCAGAGTTTCAAGGTCATCAGATGTGATTTTGTCTGTTGTTTATTACATTGTTGTGAATCAGTAAAAGGTTTTCAAAACATCCAATTAATTGTGTCAAGGTAGTATTGGATTGATAATGTAAATTGTAATTAATTGTTGTTTTAACCCAGAAAGGAATTTAATGTACTGCCTAGTGTTACTTTTACAGAATTTGTAGACTTTTTCTCTAATTGTTATAGAAAGAAAGCCTTAGGTAATAAATTAATAATTCTTTCACCATTTTGTTCACAATAATATCGTCTAAAAAAATTGTAATTGGATAATCAAGTCTCTAATTTAAAAAATAAAATTATAAAAAAATTATAAATAATTTTTTAAAAGTAAACTTTGTTTACAAATTCCAAGATTAATACAGACACCAAATGACACTATTATCATAAAGTTCAATTGATTACCTACGTAGAAAAACCACAATTTGTTTACTTTTATAAGTAATAACATAAAAAAATTTTTTGTTTTACCTTACTACATCCAGGGTGTCTAGTAGTCGGGAAAATCGGGAAAGTCGGGAATTATTATTGAATTTCAAAATGGTCTTGAAAAGTCAGGATTTAGTCTTAAATTTGATTTCAAAGTCGGGAATTTTCATGATTTTGCCGCGATCGTCGTCTTGCGTTTACGTAACCGCAAAAGCCAATGATGATGTCTACACAGCCTCGGGAAATGTTCACGATTTTGCCGCGATAGTGGACGACGACGATCAAAGTCAAAGTCAAAATAAACTTTATTCGTACGAATACATAGCAGCATCAGAATAGAGTCACATATAACTAAAAATCACATACTTTCATGCTATATAGCTAAAATACAATATATTTAAAACTATATATAAAACCCAGGCAACCAGTAGTGGAGCCCTCACTTAAGGAAACTCTGAAAAAGAATAGAGAGCTTTATTAACAAGATATTCTTTCAGCATTTTTAAAAATTTATTGTAATTTTGCTCATTTCTAATTAAATTTGGCAACTGAGTAAAAAATTTGGTGCCCATATATTTAGTTTTGTTTTTATAAAAATGAAGATTATGTTTATCAAAAATAATTTTATTTCGGGTATCATAAATCGATGGCGTTTCCGAAACCACGAGAGACGACTATGACGTTTCTGTGACAGCGGGAGACTACGATGACGTTTCCGTGACAGCGGGAGACTACGATGACGTTTCCGTGACCCGGGAGACTACGATGACGTTTCCGTGACCGCGGGAGATGACGATGATGTTTCCGTGACCGCGGGAGACGACGATGACGTTTCCGTGACCGCGGGAGATGACAGTGATGCCTACACGGCCGCAGGAAATGTTCATGATTTTGCCGTGATCGCGGACGACGACGATAACGTTTCCGTGACCGCGGGAGACGACAATGATGCCTACACGGCCGCGGGAAATGTTCATGATTTTGCCCCGATCACGGACGATGACGATGGCGTTTCCCGTGACCGCGGGAGACTACGATGACGTTTCCGTGACCCTGGAGACTACGATGACGTTTCCGTGACCGCGGGAGATGACGATGACGTTTCCGTGACCGCGGGAGACGACAATGATGCCTACACAGCCGCGGGAAATGTTCATAATGTTGCCGTGATCGCGGACGATGACGATAACGTTTCCGTGACTGCGGGAGATGACGATGATATCTGCTCGGCCGCGGGAAATGTTCATGATTTTGTCACGATCGCGGACAACGACGATGACGCTTCCGTGACCGCGGGAGATGACGATGACGTTCCTGTGACCGCGGGAGACGACGATGATATCTGTTCGGCCGCGGTAAATGTTCATGATTTTGCCGCGATTGCGGACGACGACGATGACGTTTCCGTGACCGCGGGAGACGACGATGATATCTGTTCGGCCGCGGGAAATGTTCATGATTTTGTCACGATCGCGGATGACGACGATGATGTTACCGTGACCGCGGGAGATGACGATGACGTTTCTGTGACCGCCGGAGACGACGATGATATCTGTTCGGCCGCGGGAAATGTTCATGATTTTGCCGCGATCGCGGACGACGACGATGACGTTTCCGTGACCGCGGGAGACGACGATGATATCTGCTCGGCCGCGGGAAATGTTCATGATTTTGTCACGATCGCGGATGACGACGATGACGTTTCCGTGACCGCGGGAGATGACGATGACGTTTCTGTGACCGCGGGAGACGACGATGATATCTGTTCGGCCGCGGGAAATGTTCATGATTTTGCCGCGATCGCGGACGACGACTATGACGTTTCCGTGACCGTGGTAGATGATGATGATGTTTATGTGACCGCGGGAGACGACGATGATATCTGTTCGGCCGCGGGAAATGTTCATGATTTTGTCGCGATCGCGGGAGATGACGATGACGTTTACGTGACCGCGGGAGACGACGATGATATCTGCTCGGCCGCAGGAAATGTTCATGATTTTGCCGTGATCGCGGACGACGACGATCACGTTTCTGTAACCGCAGCAGTCAATGATGATGTCTAAACGTACAGTACGTGGAAGATTTCATGATAAAAAAAACCAAATTTGCTAGTTAGAAAATTTTATTGCTGCATTATTTCTTTACTTGAAAACACCACATTATCATAATACTACTTTATGACAAAGACAGGGGTTGGTGTAGTATTATTCAGAAAATTTGGTTAAGCTATACAAATTGGTATCATTATCAAGAATCGAGAATCGATACATTTTGGTATCAACACCCACTAATTGTTGAAAAAACTAGTCTTGAAAAATCAGGAATTAGTCTTGAAAAGTCTGGATTTAGTCTTGAATTTTATAATGGAAATAAACTAGACACCCTGTCTCATTTTGGGTGATATCTGGTTTCCATGGCAACACAACCTTTGTCATTCCCAAAAATAAATTATTAAATACGCAAAACAAGAAGCAAGATATTTATAAACATCATAAAAATAAAATTAAATTAAATTTAAAACCAATTTAGGCTTGTAAGTTGGATTTTGGGCCTGCAGCAGCCAGACGAGTGATGCTCGTAAGTCGGCGCCATTGGTTTAAGTAACATACTTCTTGCCTTTATGTCAGGTATAACGATTGGTGACATGACGATTGGAAAGTAAGACTGGCCCAGTTTTTGATTTTTGGGTACTATTCAAGTAGAGTATTATATTTTCCACAAAATCTAATTATATTGTTGAGGCTTAACCAAAAATTATTCTGGATGTTTCAGATTGATCGGTTCTCGACCCAACACCTACACCTTCACAAAGGCCCTTGCAGAACACATGTTGCTCAAGGAGTCTGGAAACTTACCTGTAGCCATCGTTCGTCCCTCCATCGGTCAGTATCATCACTAAAACTCCACATCTCTTAACCGAAAAGTGATTGAAAAGGTTTTAAATTTTTTTATTATTTGGATCATTTAACAGAGGTCAGAAACTTCATGCTTACTACTCTATTTACACGATTAATAAAAACCTCAAGAGGATTTTTTTAAACTTTTGATCAAACAATATTAGGTCAACCAAACTCTGTGTAACTGTGGGAGTATTTCATTTGGTCCAAAATCGTTTGGTCCAACAGTTGAAAAACAGTTTGTTTGTTCCAAAATCGTTTAATCCTCCAGTTGAGGAGTATTTCATTTGGTCCAAAATCGTTTGGTCCAACAGTTGTAAAAAAGTTCGTTTGGTCCAACACTCTAATACGAGTTCGTTTGGTCCAACAGTATGAACTATTGCGTCCCTCTTGTTGAAGGCGTTCAAATAATTGCCGTCACGTCGTCAACCTGCCTACCTTCCGAGGCCTTTGTTGTTTTGTGTTATGTTTCTAAATAATTGATATGTTTGCATTTATATACACATACATTTACATATATTTATTTATATATAATGTGCTTGTGTCCTGTTTACTTTTTATCCCCAGTCAATCTTAAAACAACGCGTTATAATTCCCTAGATTTGTGGATAAACATTGACTTTGCTTTGAGTTTGCATTTAATGTTAAACAGATGGTTTATTTAATTTATCTAAAAATTAAATTCAATCTATGATTGTTGTGTGTTTGTCATGGTATTTGTAACAATCATGTAGTTAATAATACAAATATTAGTGATGGTCGGATCCAGATATCGGACTACCGGATCCGCCGGATCCAAGCTAGAACCGGAACCAGATCGGATCCAAAAAATTCCGGATCTTGGGCTGGATCCGGTTTTGATGGTTCCGATTTGTTCAGATTTTTCCCGATTTGTTTACTAACATAAAGCTGTCTGTATCCATGTACAACACTATCTGTAACTGTGTAAAAGAAGACTATCTGTGTCTGTGTACAAGAAGACTAATGTCAATGTCACAGTACTGTATATTGCCGATGTCAATAACCTCTATGGTTAGTCAATTTTACAGTACAGTATATTGCCGACGTCAATAATCTCTATGGTTAGTCAATGTCACAGTACTGTATATTACGACGTCAATAACCTCTATGGTTAGTCAATGTCACAGTACTGCATATTGCCGACGTCAATAACCTCTATGGTTAGTCAATGTTACAGTACTGTATATTACCGACGTCAATAACCTCTATGGGTAGTCAAAGTCACAGTACTGTTTATTACGACGTCAATAAACTTTATGGTCAGGCATTGTCACAGTACTGTATATTTCCGACGTCAATAACCTCTATGGTTAGTCAATGTCACAGTACTGTATATTTCCGACGTCAATAACCTCTATGGTTAGTCAGTGTCACAGTACTGTACATAGCCGACGTCAATAACCTCTATGTTTAGTCAATGTCACAGTACTGTATATTGCCGACGTCAATAACCTCTATGGTTAGGGAATGTCACAGTACTGTATATTACCGTCGTCAATAACCTCTATGGTTAGTCAATGTCACAGTACTGTATATAACGACGTCAATAACCTCTATGGTCAGGCAATGTCATAGTTAGTGTATATAACGACGTCAATAACCTCTATGTTTAGGCAATTCTCAAATCCGAATCTTTTCTTAAGATTCGGAGATCTGGATTCGACACATTCCTACCTTCGATCTTGAGTATGCTATATCGTGTTTTTTGCGTGTAGCATCCAATTTATTTATGCCTGGATCACCCCTTGCTTATCTTTTCCTTAATTTCGTTCTAGGTCCACAGTACTGATAGCGGGGTATGTGAAATTCTACAGGTAAAATACCCCGTGTCTGTGTACAAGAAGATTTTCTGTGTACATACAGGGTGAATAAGAAGTAGGCCTATAATAAAGACTCCCCCATCTAATATGTTAGAACACAGTATAGTTTTCTTGTACACAGACACAGGGTATTTTACCTGTAGAACTTCACATACCCGGCTATCAGTGCTGTGGACCTGGAACGAATTTAAGGAAGAGATTAACAAGAGGTTATCCAGGCATAAATAAATTGGAAGCTGCATGCACAAACCACGATATAGCATACTCAAGATCGAACTACACAGATATCCTTTTCGTGGTCCTGCAAACTTAGCACATAGTTACATTTTAAGATTTTTAAAAGTTGTAGTGTCCCCAAAAAATTAGGGATTATGGGCTCAACTGGAGATTACTCTATATATAAGATATATTAACCTTTAAACATTACCAATTTAATTTTAAACAGTTTTTTTAAAATTGGCATTCTGTTAATTACGTTTTTTTAACCCGCCCTTATGACAGTGTGTATCTGGATCCTGATCCGAAGTTCCGGATCTGAATTTTTAAAGATCCGGATCTGGTACCGACATTTTCTTGGATCCGCCCATCACTATATATATAATATAATATAATATATAATATATAAAGTGAATTTCTCAGTGAAGATATATCCTATTTGTAAAACTTTCCAAAATTTTATGTTTACTCCCCATGAGAACTATGAATAAATAAATTATTGAAAAGAAAAGAGTTTGTATTTGTTGTGGCTTATTGTCAACGGTATCATCTTAACCATTAACTTTATCTAAATATATATAATAGAGGAGGTATTTATTTATTTATTTATGTATGTATGTACCCTATTGACTCCAAAAGCCAAGTTAGTGTTAGTTAAGTTTGGTATGTTTATAATCGCAGTATTATAATCAATGAAAGGGATGGTAATTCTTTAATATTGTTATCCTTTGTTCTATACCCGCACAATGTATCATAAATCGTGAAAAATAATTGTGCGTGATATCTCAGATATACAAATGCCTCGCAATTTGTCATAAACCGACCACATTACTGTCACTATAAGAAGGAATGCCAATAATACTAATGTGAAACTTAGGTCCACCCAAGCTGTGCAACGGAACCAGACTGACTATAAAAAACATCGAAGGAACAATCATAAGTGATAAGTTTAAAGTAGAAATAGTCCCAAGAATACCAACGATATCATTTAGTCAAAAGTAGTCAAAAATGCAGACACCAACCAGTACAATAGATATAACATAATGCAATAAGAAATCATTAAAAGCGTTACTGTAATATTAAGATTATACAATTATTCGTTATGGAACGTCATATTGCTAAACATGACATTATACAGAAGAACATCAATTTTAACATAAGAAAATAAGATCCTTATATATAAATCTGTAAGACTAAATTTTTACCAGGAAATTGTGGACATCCAGAAAATATGAGTAGGCTAATTGATGTAATTTTCATGTTCTATTTTAAACTTTTGATTAAGAATTATAGACAACGATGGAGGATCAATAGTAAACACTCCATTGTAAATAGATACAACAATAAAAATTAAGGTGTATGATAAACATTTAAAGCACGTTGGTCCACTGAATTTCTATACACTCTAATATTAGAAGGCTGCCAAATGTGATAAAAACTGTTAATTTATAAGATTTCCAACCATATGATACACTATTGAGCTTTAAGTCTGCTTATGTACGCTTTAGTGGTTTGAATACTGTAATACAAAACATGGTGTCTTTAATGTTTAAAACATAGAAAGTCGGCATGTTTAAAGCAAAAATTTTATTAATATTATTATTGTATACGACGGCGGATATTTGAACGCCTTCAATGTGAGAGACGCAATAGTTTTTACTGTTGGACCAAACAAACTCGTATTAAAGTGTTGGTAAAAACGATTTTGGACCAAACGAACGAGTTTTTAACTGTTGGACCAAACGATTTTGGACCATTTGAAGATGATCCGTAACTGTATGAGTATCACAAATGAACTTTTTGAGATGAGCTTTTTTATCGCTGTCTACGTCAGTGGTATCATCAATGATGGAAACACTAAGGCCTTTACGGGAAAGCAATCTACACCCATCAAATTTTGTGTGAATATGCTGGGGATTGAACCCGGCCATCTCAGTGCACCAAAGTTTTAAGGCAAAAACCATTAAGCAACAAACACACCTTTCAACAATAGATTCCATCCACAAAGATGTAGTCAACTAGAAGAAATGAAAACTTAGTTAAATAAAGCCATCAATGCTCAATGTACGCTGATGAAAAATAAAGTTTTCTCTCTTGCATGCTACCTTTATAACCATGTCACAATCTGCAAATGCAACATACAGTAAAATATTTAACTCCTTTTAGAGTGTGGTCTGATTTTTTGTTAAAAGTTAATTCACATTATAAAACACTTCATTTGGTTGGTCTTAAAAAAGGCCCAAGATAACTTGAGATCTCCATCATTACCTCTGTTCTTTTTTAGTACTGGAATGAAATAGGAATATATGGTTTTTCGTTTTTGGTCTTGTGTCAATGGGAGGTTGTGTTTGAAAAATGTATCAGCCATTTAGGGATATTTGGGGGGGGGGGGACTATAGTTATAACACACAAAATAAAATTGAATGTTGCTTTCACTAGGTTTGATAAGATATACCCCATAGAAGAGTGTATCTATACTTTGCCTAGACACAAATGGTTATGATTTGATAAAAATTTAATATGGCTACCATATTGTACTGGGTTAAGTAAAAGTTCTAGTTTCCCTTATTTTAAATTGTCTGCCTCCTCTTTTTCTCATGTTTTGGGAGCGTAAGCGCTTGACGATGATAGATTGTTGAATTTTAATCTTATTATTTTAGTATTCCCGGTCTCCCGCAAGTAAACAGCCAATCTCCGGAAAATGGTTCTATGAGTCAACATAAAGAGAAAATCGAGCATAACATTTTTTCCAATATAACTTCGTTGACCAAATATCCGTCATTTTGTATTTTTTACATAAACATTTTTATCTTTATATTGTTCCAACCTATCTCGATGAAACTTGATGTTCGTTAAGGCAAAAAATACCTAAGGAAAAAAAATGTTAACTTGGTCCAATACAATTCCATTTTATTTGATATTTTTAAATATCATATTATTAGTAACAATCTTGTTTGTTTGTATCAATTTTGCTTCTATTATAAGGTTAATAAACAAAAGACATTACAAGTTTAATGATTTATTTAAATCCATACTCCATTAGTAAAATTATGCTTTAGCTGCTATTAAAGTCTACTACGTTTCATAACGCAAGGGGGGTGGAGGGGGGTTTGCTCAAGCGTTACGGTGTGTTACATGGGGGGGATTTAAATTGTCGAAAAAGTGTGTTATGTAATATTTCTATTGACAGTTTTTTGTAGCAGAACCGAATTATGCCACAAATTAAACTTTTTATGTCTACAGTACATTCATAAAGTTGACGTTGATTTTTGTAGTGATCTCCTCTCTGCAAGAACCAGTAGCGGGCTGGGTTGACAACTGGAATGGTCCGACCGGGATCATAGCAGCTGCTGGGAAGGGATTCTTCCGTACAATGCTCTGCCACGAGGACAAGGTCGCAGACCTGGTGCCTGTTGACATTGTCATCAACCTGATGATCTGTGCTGCCTGGCGCACTGCCACCGCCAAGTATGTTTCATACATTCAAATCTATATAGTAAAATAAAAAACTATTCTTGAGACGTTTCCCAACTAATTCTAGCTATTAGTGTTAAGCCAGGGATAGTTGCATACTAAATTGTAACGTATGCTGGTATTATACAGTTTATATACTAGTATTAGACATTGGCGACGGATTTTTTAAAACTGTATCTTATGCTGTAAACGTTCTCTAAATAAGTGGAGGAGTAGGTTGGATATTTCACTAGCCCAGCTTACTCCAGGTAAATCCCATTTAGAACATGTGAAACTATATAGTTTCTTAGGTTTTGCATGTAATTGACTATAAGATGGTTTTAACAATAGTTAGTTTAACTAGCAAATGATATATGCATACAGGATGTTCATAAAAGGTGGGGGAATTATTTACATAGTGATTTCTTGGGTTGAAATCAAGAAAATCAAGAATAAAACTTCTTCAAAAATTGCTTGTTAACCAGATATCTGCCATTACCTATGTATTTTTTACATAAATATTTGAAGCTTTTGATTGAGCATAGCAATCTTTATGAAACTTGGTATGTGTGTTAAGGTAGAAGAGATCCGTGTTAGAAAAGAACATAATCTTAGTCCAATTCTAAACTTCAGAATGGCAACCATTTTAAATGTTTAAATTTTAATTGCTAAAAATTGCTGATTTTATGGAAAAATTTTAAGGATACTGATATTTAGCATTTAAAATTTCCTATCAAATGACATCAAGTTCAAAAATATCAAATATCAAAAAGCTAAAATATTACTATCTTTTTCTTCTTTTTTTTTGTTAAATGGGGTAGAGGTAGAGTAAGGTAAGGGCTAGTCTTACGCTGCATCTCATTTTGCCTTATTTTACAACTAAAAATTAAGACATTTCAGATTTTTTCCATTCAATCTTTATGAGCTTAGTGTTCACATTTTATGAACCCTCTATATATATACATATTATAATTTAACAATTAAATATTGTTCCATAAAACCAAGGTTTGAGTATGCAAATTATGAGACCAGTTCCTCTCTACTGTTCTAAAAACTGTAATAAACAGACGAAAAAAATTCCGGTTACGTGTTAGCTCAGTTGGCTAAGGCATTGCACGCACGAGTGTAGCGCAGAGGTCTTTCGCGCAAGTTTGAATCCTGCATATTATGTCCAATCCATATTAAGCTAACTGATGTGTAGTTTAGCTGGTTGAAGGTAGGGGTGTTCTAATAGTGGTTTTTGGGTTCGAATCAAATACTTCATAATATTTTTGAATATTACCGAGCGAATATTTATGTCATTATTATAGACTCCAAAGAGTTTTCCAATCACATCTTTGGAACTCTACTAAGGTTAATAATTCTGATTTTAACCAATTTAACATTTTAAAATAATCTATTTTTGCCCTTACCTATTTGTTCTAGGTACAAAATGAGTACGGTAAATTGCTGCTAAATATAGGCTATTTTTCCTTTCTTTAGAGTTAAGGAAGATGTCATAATATGCTTAAGTCGTCGTTGTGACTTTATAATATGAAGCAAGAAATGTTGGGATGAAATAAAACAACACAATACCAAGATTTATTTGGTTGCAATTAGAGATTATTTCTAGGTTTGTTTACTATTCGGATGTTCGAATATACTCATTAAGATTGAGTCGGGCTCGAATACTAAAGTATTCGTTCAACTATTCAAACTTTTGAATATTAGCACACCCCTAGTTGAAGGCCTACCTACAAAAGCAGTGTCCGAATTGGGTAGTTGATGGCATTAGTGAGTTTTGTAGGGATTGCAGATAACACCTATTTTCCTTCTTTTTACACTAGGTTATTCTTTTCCTTTTTTAGCCTTTATTTTGGTTGAATATTTACATACGTTCTGAAATACACATACCATAACTGACATAAAACAAAATAATTAAAAAAATACATTCACAAAATATAATTAACAAATTTCCGTCTCAAAGGGTTAACGCGTTTGCCCACAATAGTACTAAATTTTTCTTTCATATAGACCAGCGACGCACATGGCCAGTTTCTACCCATGGACTGCCGTTGCATATATACAACGGCTAGTCATATTAAAATAGACTGACATCGCATGTTTGCTTGGTGTCCCAATGTTATTTAAAAGCTTATATCTTCGTAACGGTCTATTTTAAGGCTCTGAATTCTCTTCATTGGTCCACAGGGATGTCTGTCGCATATGTGCGTTATGTGCATCACTTGGTCTGTGGATATGCAATGGTAACTGACGTCATTTGATAGTTGAAAAAACCTGTTTTTATCTTTTCTGCATCACTGGCGCGCGGTCTGCATGTATGTACTGTTAACCAAATGACACCAGGTCTATGTGTAATATTAAAATGTATACCTCGGGCCGTGGCAATGACCAAAACGTCGCAAATTTGGCGATCGGTAGTGAAAGTGTTAATGTCACTCCAGTTATTTAGGTTGTGTTTATGGTGGAAATCTCTTGAATTGTGCATTACTTTACTAATCGATTTGCATACTTACTACTTGCAAGTTGAGAGTCTTTTATTGTATTTCATTTCCATTCCAACAACATGTTTTTGCACAGACCTGACCAGCACATTATGACATAAATTCACTGTTTCATACCAATGTAGTTCGACATTTTCGGATCTTTGAGACAATCCATCTCATTTATGTTTTTGATGTCAGTGTTTGTGATTTAATTTATTTGAGTGTATGTTGTTCATAAAATATTATGTTTTTTTCTTTTTTAGGTTTAATGTGTGTTTGGTCACATATTCACGTTATTTTATTAGGTCAGGAGATCAATTTATTTAAGCTTTGATTTCGTAATTAACATTTAATTATTGCCTTTATATTTTATTTTTTAATCTTAACCAGACAAGTAAAAAACCCCTCAAATTTAGGTTTTGAAATTCATTTTTTTATGTTTTGGTTTTGAGATTTGAAATGTCTGGTATCAACCATCATACTTAGGTCTTTATCATAAAGAGTTTGAAATTGGGCCTGATGATGACCAATGTTACCGGTTAAAATGATCACCATTGTAATCTTTTTCATATTTATTTACCGTCTAATAAGTTTTCACAGTTCGAGTGTAGATATATGAAAAAAGTCTGAAGTCATATTTTATTATGTTGGTTTAATAGTTCCAACAAATAGAATGCTCATGAAGAAGTAGTTTAAAGCCCATATTTGTGTGTTTCAGGCCCAATGGCATCACCGTGTACAACTGCTGCACTGGCCTACAAAAGCCTATCACCTGGAAGGAGTTTGTGAACCACAGTTTTGTGGCCATGAGGAAGTATCCTCTTGGAGACCTGCTGTGGTATCCAGATGGTTCTTGTCGAAGCAACTGGGTCACAAACTCTGTGTTCTCCTTCACCCTGCACTTCATGCCTGCGTACATTATTGATATGTTCGGCCGTCTAGTTGGCAAGCAACCTAAGTGAGTATGGTTACTGATTGTGCTATAAAGATTATGAACACTGGGCTTATTCAGAAAACCTACTGCTCACCTACAAATTTTTTGCAATAATTTACATAATGAATTAATTATGATTGTACCCTCATAAACTATCTCATTGTTTGAGATTCTCCCTCATCCGGATCGGCCTTGCCCGGACTCCTGCTAGTCCGGATCGCAATTGTGATTTTTTTTTAGCGGCACAGTACAGTAGAAGTCCGATTATCCGAGCTAAACGGGACCGAGACTACCTTGGATAATCAAAAACTCGGATAACACAGCGGTAAAAATTATTACAGGTGGAACTGAATTTGCACGGCTATCAATTCTGTGGACCTGGAACAAAATTGAAAAAAACAGCTAGCCTATATACAGTACTGTATTTGCTTGACTCTCGATAGTCCGGATCTTTTGTAATCTGGACTGGACATCCGCCACATTACTCCGGATGAGCGAGAGTCTACTCTATTATAAATATTTAAGTTACCTAGTAAATTTTCAAGTTATCCTGTATTGGAACAAACACTGGTTTCAAACAAGAAAGAGTCCAGCCTACCAATAAAATCTCGAATTTTACGTCAATTTATGACCGGGAAACACCATGGAGATAAATTTGTTTTGAAACTGGAACATTATAAATGTAAAAATGTCGAGGCATTCAATGTTCGAGACAACCATAAGTAATGACTTTTTTATGTTCTCTGAATTTACCTAATGTCAAGAAAATAATAAGATTTTTCAAAAGAGTAGCTTCGGATTACCAAGATACACTAAAAGTGGTTTAAATACCTGTATTGTTGATAATCCAAATGGTTGTGTTATACCACTTTTAAATAATAAAATCTCGATTGAGGGTTAACGTTCACAATGTATCATAATGTGATGGAGGGAGATGATCTGATGTTGCCATAGTCGCAAGAGATTCTTAATCTTAGTAGTTGGAAATGGATTTCATGATGATGAGTTTCGGAAATGGATTTACAGTATTGTTTTATAATGGATTCAAAATTAAATAAATTATAGATTCTACATTGTATATTATAAATTTGGTGTCAAATTCAAGATTTAAGATGAAAGATATTTTAGGATTCAGTTATTTATTGATAATCCTGTTATTTTGACTAATACGTTATGTAATGCCCATCCCTACATTACTGTAGGCAGTCGCACAAAAATTAACTGTAAGGCACTAAATTTTTAACTTTTCATCACCCTGTACATGAGCATCAATATAAGCTTAAAATCTTTTTATCAATATGATCAGAGGACAAATACTTTTAAAATGAGGTAACACTATACCTACCTTTACATTTGAACATTTTCCTAAAACTTCCCCCACCCCCCAAAAACTACCCTTTCGGTGAGTTCGAGAGATTTAAAAATAATTTCTCCAAATTCTACGGGGTTAAAATAGGGGGGTTTAAGTTGTTACGAAAGATCTACCTCGTATAGTTTAGCATTGTGTACAAGTGGTTTGCCTAACCCTGTATAATACAAGTTAAACTAATCCTATTAATTTTTTATTATTGTTAACTAGCTGTTACCCACAGGTTTCACCCCGTTTGATTTCATAAGTATTAATAAAACTATTGATTGGTTAATTTTAGCTGAAATAAACAAAACAGAATACAGTAATACAAACAAATAATCACACCTGATTTTAATAAGGTAATAAATTGAAAGAATAACAAACTAATAAGTACAGCTGAGGTATTTTTAACATTAGGTATATGGAAAGTTCCCTTTGGAAAGCAATTACGACCTTATAAGGAAATTTATGAAATAATGGATAGTTTTGCGCAAGGTTTCTCGTCATGACAAACATTTTAAGTATATGGTTTATAGGGGTGTGACTTGTAGTTTTCTTAAAAGTTCATGTGTACTTTGGGCTTTATATATAGATACTATTACTTTAAAAAAATTCAATGTCAGATGATACAGCCTAACCATGATTTGGGCCATTCCCATGTAATAAAGTAATAGACACATTGATATCATAAAAAGGTGTTTTACAAAGAACAAAACTCATGAACTTGGTACCTTGGTAACTAGTAGATAAACTGCTTAAAATGTAACATTTTGTATTGCAGCATGGTAAGGATCCAAAACAAGCTAGATAAGGCAGCCAAGTGTTTGGAGTATTTCTCCACCCGACAGTGGCGTTTCTTGGATGACAATGTCCGTATGCTGAACCAATCTCTCAGCCTGGAGGATCGAACAGAATTTGCTTTTGATGTATCACGAATCCAATGGTCCAAATACATCGAGGACTACGTCTTGGGTATCCGTCAATTCATCTTCAAAGAGAGCCCAAATTCACTCCCTGCTGCACGGAAACAACTGAACAAGTAATTAATCTTCTCTAAGTTTAAAAATAGTATAGTTATTTTCCATGTATGGCTCACAGTAACGCCATGAAGCCTCAGTTTTTCTGTTGGGCTATTTCAGTACACTTCTTCTTTTAGATGTAGTTTGGATCCATTTAGTCCTGGTGATGATGTCTCTGTGATCACAGAAGATGTTCACGATTCTGCCATGACTATGAAAGTTGTTCTCGTTTCAACCTTGACTGCAGAAGATGTTCTTGATTTCACGCTAGCTTCATACGTAGGCCTACCTCTTAAAAAACAATATTACAGTGGAACTTGGATAGTTTGAACCTCAAGGGACCAATAATACAAATTGTAACTATCCAAAAATTCAAATTAAGAAAGCCTTATAAAAGACTAAAAACAATAAAATTATACTTTTCTGCATAAAACCTTTATTTTGAATAAGTGAAATTTTCATTTTACTGTACAGTTTGATTAATAAAGTAGCCCACAGTAAATTGTTGTACAGTTTTACAGTAGAAAAAACTACTACTATACTGTTACGTTAAGCAATAGATTTAATGATTCCCAAAAAAGTCAAAATAGAAACAATAGGATTACAGGGGTTGGGCAATGACCTCTAAAAGAGCGCGGGCTTTGGGCCACAGTGAGATCAGATGGCTATGGCGTAGGAAGGGGAGTTGGTGCGACCTTGAAGCTATATTTGACCTACACCACTTCTCTTAAGGGCTATCAAGGGGGATTTCAACCTCAAGCCAATGACTTAAAATATGTTTTCGGCAATTTCTTGCCAGGTTTGACTTTTGATTTTTTTTCTCGTAGTAACTTTAAACTATCCAAAATGTAATTGGAATTAACCATGATTATTTAGCATAGATCGTATGAATGCTGGGGACCAGAAGAAATATTCCAATTAAAGAAGATTTTGAATTATAGGAGTTCAAATTTTCCACGTTCCACTGTAATTTTGAAAGTTCAGAATAGGTGGATTTTCGAGATGGCGGGTTCAGTGTAGTGGGAATGTACTGTAATGCTTTTATGTTAAATCTGTTTCACCATTAGGCCTACCTAGAATAGTTCACAGTAAGTAACATGTATTAGAGCACAGATTGTTCTAGTCATATAAGCGTGAAACGAAAATGTATAATTTTGATTGACTATTGTTTTCTTCAATTGTCTAATTTAGTGAATAAATGTTCACATTTTCAAATACATTGTCAAAACATAATACTACAATCTTAGGAAAAAATATTATACAGACCTTTTATTTTTGTGTATTCTTGAATCACTTTGATATAGAAATAAAAGGTTATGTGTTATTTACATTAATTAGGGTATGTAACATCATAGAGGAGGATATTCTTAGGGTATTTTTTCTTTAAAATTCACTCAGACTTCAAACATTGTAATACAAGAGCTGTTCAGAAAGTAATATGTTTGCCCCCAACGCTAAAAGGTGCGTGTTGCTTGCACACTTTCTAGTTCGCCTACTCAATGTCTGTACTGTTGTCACAGCAGAAGTGTCAGAAAATAAGTTAATATTTTATAGGCCGTTTAAAACAATGCATTCCACTTAATTATTTCCGAAAAGCACATTTCTCATATTTTCAATCAGTTTCTGGTATGGGCTGATTTCTTGGAGCAATTGTGCTAGGGTATAGGATAGTGATGGGCGGATCCAAGAAAATGTCGGTACCGGATCCGGATCCGGATCTTGAAAAATTCGGATCCGGATCTTCGGATTCGGATCCAGATACACACTGTCATAAGGGCGGGTTAAAAAAAAACGTAATTAACAGAATGCCAATTTAGATCATACTGTTTAAAATTAAATCGGTAATGTTTAAAGGTTAATATATCTTATACACTAAGACATGGCCTTGCCATATAAGTTATTTGCATCAAGAGACAAACACTGAGTCATGGCCTTGCCATTTAAGTTATTTGCATCTAAAACATCGAGACATGGCCTAGCCATATCAGTTATTTGCATCTAGAGACAAACATCGAGACATGGCCTAGCCATATAAGTTATTTGCATCTAGAGACAAACATCGAGACATGGCCTAGCCATATAAGTTATTTGCATCTAGAGACAAACATCGAGACATGGCCTAGCCATATAAGTTATTTGCATCTAAAAACAAACATCGAGACATGGCCTTGCCATATAAGTTATTTGCATCTGAGACAAACATCGAGACATGGCCAAGCCATATAAGTTATTTGCATCTAGAGACAAACATCGAGACATGGCCTTGCCATATAAGTTATTTGCATCTGAGACAAACATCGAGACATGGCCTAGCCATATAAGTTATTTGCATCTAGAGACAAACATCGAGACATGGCCTTGCCATATAAGTTATTTGCATCTAGAGACAAACATCGAGACATAGCCTAGCCATATAAGTTATTTGCATCTGAGACAAACATCGAGACATGGCCTAGCCATATAAGTTATTTGCATCTGAGACAAACATGGAGACATGGCCTAGCCATATAAGTTATTTGCATCTAAAACATCGAGACATGGCCTTGCCATATAAGTTATTTGCATCTGAGACAAACATCGAGACATGGCCTTGCCATATAAGTTATTTGCATCAAGAGACAAACACTCGGGGGAAAAACGGTCTTGTACATGGATACAGATAGCTTTGTGTTAGTAAAAAAATCGGGGTTGTACAGTGATACAGACTGCTTTGTGTTGGTAAAAAAATCGGGGTTGTACAGAGATAAGTTGTGTGTTAGTAAACAAATCGGGGGAAATCGGTCTCTTACATGGATACAGATAGCTTTATTTTAGTAAACAAATCGGAGTTGTACAGTGATACAGACAGCTTTATTTTAGTAAACAAATCGGGGTTGTACAGTGATACAGACAGCTTTATGTTAGTAAACAAATCGCGGTTGTACAGTGATACAGACAGCTTTGTGTTAGTAAAATAATCGGGGTTGTACAGTGATACAGACTGCTTTGTGTTGGTAAGAAAATCGGGGTTGTACAGTGATACAGACAGCTTTGTGTTAGGAAAAAATCGGGAAAAAATTTGAAAAATCGGATCCATCAAAACCGGATCCAGCCCAAGATCCGGAATTTTTTGGATCCGATCCGGTGCCGGTTCTAGCTTGGATCCGGCGGATCCGGTAGTCCGATATCCGGATCCGACCATCACTAGTATAGGACAGTCTTATCTTGCAAAAGAAATCAGTAAGAGTAAGTCCATAGAGACACATAATATATATAGGTAACAGAAAAGTACTTTTCTGAAAAAGAAATTTTCAACCACTGAAGAAATGTTTTGAAATTTCTCCAGTCTCACAAAAATTTCTACTTTTGTGTTGTATATGTGTCTCTGTGGACTTATTTAGAGGTAAGCCTGTTTTCCTGTCAATTTTCTAATAATTCCTGGCAAATGCCCTATCTTTTAATCAGATACTCATAATTATAATTTATATTTATAATACTACAAATGAGATCCATACTTAAATAGAATTCCATTGTTCAAGTAAAACTTTAAACAGCCACATAGTTTCGTCACTCAGGATGTATAACTTTTTGAATAAAAGACTTAATTAAACTACACACATCATTAAGGATTTGAAAAATAAATTCTATTGTTGGTTATCAGCACTTTGTTAACGATAAGGATCTCCAATTGCGTGTCACCAGGTGGCTTAGTTAGAGGCGACGGAATTACTGCTTTGATAGATGCCTCAACCTCAACCTTTTGGCAGATTTGTGGACAAGTAGTATTTTATTTGCTCTTTCAAGCTTATGGTATCTTTTTTGTTCTATTCCAAAACGTTCAGTACTTCTAGCAGACCTCATATTTGCCTTCATAAAAGAATCTGCCAAAGCTCTCGCTCTCATTTATGGTCCATCATCAAAATTTATGTATTTTATGTAATTCTTCCTATTGGTGTATGGAAATTTCCTATGATCCTTGTAAATGTGTAATTCAGAGGTTGATTGTTTCCAGGATGCTTTGGCTTCACCGTATGACCAAGATCTTCCTGGTTTTGCTGCTTTGGCGAGCTGTCATGCTGCGTTCTCAAAGTGCTCGCAAACTTTGGTATTTTATGATAAGTTTAATGTTGCGTGTTGTGCGAATGGTTCCGTACATTTGAATTAAGGTCTGCTTATTGTTGCCCTTTAAAGTCGTTTGTCTAAAAGAGTTTATCCGACAGACAAGTACTTAATTTTTACACATAATTGTTAGCTTTGATTATCAATAAGGATACCAATGCTTTAACTAGCCTTTATTTTCACCCCGTGATCATTTGTGACCCATTTGTATGTTCTATTCTAAAAATGTTATTTAGCATATTGTTTTAAAGAATTATTCTATGTTAATTTTGTAAAATGATGTATGTTTTGTTTTAATGGTAATTGTCAATGAAAGAATTATATATTAATTAACTTGTTAGTGATTGTATTAACAAAATTGTAGAAAGCTATTTCACATATACTTTAAATATCTGCGCTTATATCAATTTTTGTTTTTACTTGTACATTTATCAAAGATTATACCGAACCTTATTTATTTTTGTACCACGTTATATTCTTGTTGTTTATTTACGGTGGTCTGTATATTATATGTTGGCTAAAGATGGTGAATGAGTATTTATTGTATCTTGATAGAGTAATAAATTGATACATTTAATTATTTTGTATTTTAAGAATTTTATTCTTTCATTAGCAAATATCATATATTTTTAAGATTTTCCAAGGATTTTTATAAAATAATAGTTTCATCTGTAAGTTCTTATACCTTGTATATACTAACTTAGCGTCTGGACCCTTGATTACCCTCCCTAAGATGAGTTACCTAGCACTCCTACTGGACCTAATAACTTCTTTTATATGGAATGTTGATTTTTTTTTTTTACTGCATCAGCTACTCAAGCAAACAAGCGAGGAGGAGTCAGATTGGGCCAGTTGCAGGTAGCAAGGTGCCAGATGCCAAGTTAGTGTATACAGGGTCGGCATAAGTTTTCGGTTAGAAGCTGTTTGGTTCTGGTAGCCCCTTTTGATTTGTGTTTGTTTATAGAAATCTTCTACTTAACAACAGTGCCCATGTCAACTTGTTCTTTGGTGCTATGTGTCCCTCAAATTTCCCATCACTCAAGAACGCCAAACTGAAACGTTCTAATATAATTTTAAATTGTTGATGTTATTGTTTATATTATTTATCAAGTTGTTTGCTTCGCTTGCATTTCATTTATATCGAAGCGTAAAGACTTTTAGTCATAGTTCCGGTGTATAAGACAACCGTAGATCGGTCTTGTCGAGTGTCTATTCGTGTTGTGTTTGTATTTATTGTTTCACTGGGTTTATCGGACTTTCGTGGCTATGTCGCAGTATTAAAGGTGTCATCCATTACTGCTCAGTATTTTTCAATGGAATCTGCTTTCTGATTCAGCGTTTTTAATAATCGTAGCGCTTTTACCTATTGAAAATAGTGTTATAACTCGCCAACTCGTAAAGCTTGATTTGATCCACACATTATTTAACACCTCTTGTCATATATTTGAATTTATATATTTGTAGGCAAAATTTGCTTTGTAAAATATTAGTGTATTATTTAGGTTAAACTTTAACTTTGTACAGATAAAATAATGAATGCCAATCTGAGTACTCTATGTTAAATAAGTGAAGTTATCATAATTGTAGTTTCATCTCAGAATCACCAACATCACATCACAAAGTCATGACCTTTATTGGTTCATCCAAGTCCTCTAGTATCAACAGCCATTATTTGTATAATATACTACCCTGAACGAGTATGAGTAAATCTACATATTTAAACTCGGCTTTAGATATACCTTGAGTTTGAAGCTCAAATTGTAACCAGAATTATTTTTAGTACAAACTTATTAGTAAACATAATAGCTACTGAGTACACTTTCACTTATTTGCCGGATGAAACTAATTTTATAGACTGAAATGCAGTTTTCCTCTCAAACAAACTCGATAACATTAAAATTGTGACAAAGCTCATAGCTGTGCCTACCTCTGTTAATGTGGGTGACTTTGAACTTTTTTCCTTTGCCGTTCCTGTTGAACGGATCTGTAGTTTCAATCAATGGTTTTATTTTACTTACTGCCAATACCTCTAGCAATGAGCCTAGTGAGCATTTATTTGTTTATCGAGAAACCTTTTTAATTGTAAGTAGTTAAATGTTTTTACTGATTGTTAGCATTTTGTTTGGTTTGTAGAATTACGATTTACAAATTAACATTCGATTATAGTTAGTCTTTTGTAGTAAGAACATTATTATGTACGGAGTTATTTAGACTAGTCCATCTGGTTATGTTTTATTGGTACAGTATTTTGGAGTTTGTCAGATGTAACTTATTCGGATGTTAAAGTATCATAATCTAACTAAAATATTACTTCAGTACTAATGAGTCAGGATCCCTTTCCACTTTGCTTAAATTTAAATGTTTGAATTGTTGTTCAAACATTAAGTCATAATTATTTATGAAATCACATATTCACTGTTTTCTTTTCTTTCTTTTTTTGTAAATGTAAGGATTTGAAGTAAAATATTCAGCGTCGGCTGTCACCAATGGATAGTTAAATCACCTGGATAAATGTGTATACCAAAAATCTAACTAGCTTTTAACTTACATAAATATTATTTTGCATTTATTATCGTCTATTTGTTTTATGTTGGTACTACTCAATAATTAATGCTTTTTATTTTGAGCCATGGCTGCAGGAATAGTTTTGAAAATGTATAGTGAATTGTTACCTCTGCCTGAATAGTTTATATGTATACATATTTTTTTGTTTTAAATGGTTTACTTTAAGTATTAATGCTGATCATCTTTATATTCTGGGATTAATTTCCCATGGTTTGTTTTGGAATTTTAACATCTTGCCCAGATTACAATATCAAAATAATTTTGGACTTAATCACTAAAGACATCATTTATTTATCCTGTCATGTAATTGCAAAGGATTTGTGCCCATGCTGTTACTTTAAGGTTTAATATGATCATCCTACAGTTTGCCAAAGATCAGTTTGGTGGCAAGAATGAGAGTTATTAAGGTAACCGATATTATTTTTTTAATATTAAACCTTTTAACATCTGTTATTTACCAATGTAAAAATTATAGGTAGGAGTATAAATTTTTAATATTTTTATGTTTACCTGCATGTATAAGAGTTATAATAATGTATACTTTTTTATTTAGATATTTGATTGTAATTGTATTGGCATTACGGTTTTATGATTATTTAAAAATATTTTTTAACATTGTATATAGTTTATTTATTATATTTGTAAATATTGTTTTGGGAACTTTCTGAGGTATACAGATTCCCTCAAATAAATCAATAAGTGGGTAAATGTCATGACATGAAAGTTTTTCAATCGCAAACCGTTGAAGGAATGGTCAAGATTTGACGAGTGACGTGTCATACATCGCTCAGTCAATCTTGGCAGATTCAATATCCAGGGAAATTTTTCGCTGTCATGAAAGCTCATTTAATTTCGTCCCAGTTAACATGAATGTGTGTACACAAATAGGACAAATTTCCTTGGGGTAATGCAATTAACCCTCGACATATTCCATTCATGTCCTAGCTTCTAGTCAAATGTCGGGAGAAGGATTCATAGTAGCTTCTTCCTTATTCCAAAATAAAAGCATGATATTATTTGTAGTGTCATTATTTATTTTTCCTACTAGCTATTTTCTAGGGTAAGCTAAGATGAGTAACGTGCGTCCGATGGTTTTAGCGAGTCATTTTAATTTTCTCATATTCAACATCTGAGGAAACGCGACAATTTTATCAAAGTAACTTTCCGTATTAGCTAATTTTACTTATAAGATAATATAAAAAGAGGTTATAGTTTAGGGAGTTATTTACTGTATCTCCACTTTCACTTAACTGAAGAAATTGGTTATGTTCATTTACCCTGTATTGTACATTACATAACTTAATTGTTTCATAAGTCATTAAATCTGATAGAATACTTTTGACTCTCATTATAACCCCTTTCACTCCTCAAACCCTTAATTAGCTTATGTAAGCGGATCTTAATTTAATACCACTGTGTAGTAATTGGTTTTTGATGTTAATGGTTTTAAAGAAATTTAAGGAGGCCACAATAATAAATAAATAATCTTCTCAGTATTGAGTGTAGATATTAAACCAAGTGTAACAAATATGAACAGAGTAAACTTCAATAGTGAACTACATTCGTCCTTCACTTTCACTATTGAAACCGAAACTGCTGGTTGGCCTGATGTTCTGCTCTTTAGTGGTGGATTTATATTAGTATGGCAATTTGATTTTATGAGTATTGGTTTAGTGTGGGGATCAGTATTTTAGCCACCGTAAGAAAATAATATAACAATACCCCCACTGCAGGAAACATGCAGACTATGTGAATTTGTCAGATTGGCGAAATATATATATATCTTTATAAAACATATCTTTAAAAATATCAGATTCATCTCCTATTTAAATAACATCAGGGTTGAGTTTTTAGGTTTGCTGCTACAGGGAAAGTAATAAAGTGTGTTCATTCGTAAAATGTTAATACCTCTCAATATGAAATTTAAAAATTTGATCAAAATGTATAATGTATGTCTATCTATCTATCTAGTATATCTATCTATAAACAAGCAAACTACAACTACTTACTTATTTCCATTAGAACAACATAAGGGTTTTAAATTTACAGTTTTTTCCACAATTTTTAAGTGTACACAACACGTCAAATTGCTTAATTTTGTTTTGCATAACTGAGGGTCTAAAATTGAAAAAAAACCATTTTTACCTCATAAAACATTGTTCTCACTCCCACAATCCGATCAGCTGGTTCACAAACTCGTTTGAATAAACATAGGTTTATATGTTTGTACCAAATTTAATCAAAATCAGATGATTTTTACTCAAATTATCATATCTTAATGTAACACACATTATAAGTGTAGATAGATATTGCATTACCGTAAATATGAACATGTGTTACTGTTGCTTATTTGTTTGTGAATTTGATCAGATGGTATTTTTGGCCTTTGGGGACCTAAAAAAAAAATCGGTCCTAGGTCTAGGTCTTACCATTATACCTACGGTAGTAGCTTATTTCCTATATGGGAAATTTGCTAATAAAGAAATAATCTTTCTTCTTAATAAGTGGGTTGTCCCTAAATTAAGGACTGCATCTAGCTGATCTAGCCCCCATTGTAGCCAAGTGAGCTAATTAAAATAAAGCCGCACTTACACTGGAGTTTGGAACTTTTTGTTGGTGACACTTGTTTCTAAAACAAAAGTTTACAATAGGTAGTGTACTATTCTTTGATTTTGTTGGAAACAATTTAATCACCGTGAGAACACAAGGTCAGTCCCTCTCGAGATAGTCACGTGGTGGTGGGTATGCGAAGAGGGTAGCGGGGAAGTGTTGTAAACAGCGTAGAGGTACAGAAACAAATGTTTTCTTATGTTTGGAACACCCTTTGATCTTTACCGACTTCTGGTGGAAAACAAAATTTCTGTTGTAAACACTAAAAACTGTTTCCAACATCGAAATGTTTCTGTTCCAAAAGTAGTCTTTCTTGGTTTCTTAGTCGTAAAAACGTGTTCCTAACTCCGGTGTAAACGCGGCTTAAGAGCAACATTGTGTTTCTTACTTTATTCTCTACTGTTCTAGTCGGTTCACACCCTTATAGGACCATTAGTCTTGTCATAATAGTAAAATGATAAAAATGGTGTTCTTCTCAACTATATGAATCACATTTTATGATCAGATTTCTGTGATGTCAATTGTCAACTGCTTATAGTCATTCAATGAACATGAATTGGGTAAAGCTTTTTGGATGTACAAAATGTGTGCAAGGGGTAGTGGGGGTTAGGAAGTTCTCAAACATCTGCGCGTTTTTCATGGTATGGTCAACTGCTGTCAAGTTTGAAGCAGTGACCAGCATTAGAGAATTTGGATTGGGATGACAGTGTGGCTGTACCAGAGAGGTTATCTAACTTCAAATTACTAAATTATTTGTTTTGCATAACTGAGGGTCCAAAATTGAAAAAAAAAACATGGTATGGTCGACTGCTGTCATTCATTTGTCTCGTTTCAAGCAGTGACCAATGTTAGGAAATTTTCTTTGGGATGACTGTGTGACTGTACAAGAGAGGTTATCTAACTTAGGGCACGTCTCTTTAACGTCAATAAGCAAAGATTCAATCACTGTCTCAATGGAAACTGATGAACAGCTGGTTCCGTTTAGCAAATAAGTACGGCCTTTAGTGAATTCCCTAAGCCACTTATTCACATTTGTCAAAAAAATAGTCTGCATATACTCTAGCTGGTAACTGGAAGCAATAATCAATAGAGATTCCTACATAAACCTCATCACAAAACGTGATTCATAATTGGCGGAAGCATCAATTTTCTTCCTCAATATTTTGAAATACTATGACGAGACTAATTGTTCCATGCGGCTGAGAACCGGATAGAACAGTGGTGGTTGAAGTAAGCACATGAAGTTGGTCTTAGATTTGAGGTAGCCCGCTGTGCTGCGACGGTGGGTCGGTGGAGACCTTAATGGACAGAACTATATTTTACCACAATTCACTCTTCAATGACATTAACTCAAATATTTAAATGTGAAACACTGGTAATTTGAATGTTAATAACTAGGAGACCAGTTGTTTACAATTAGATCGTTTTATTTTGTTAAACGAGGTTTTAAATTACTGAAATAACAAGAAACAAATTGTAAACAAAACACAACCTTTACAGTACAACGTACAGAACTAACAATAGAATTAGCTTTAGCTGTTCCATATGGATGAGAAATCTACTAAGGGAGTGTGTTTTATCTATAACACTTAAATCTAAATAACAGTAACAGTTGTTCCTCAATTTAACTTTAACTTTACTAGGACTAGCAGAGATAAGTGCCTTGGGTGGTGTGAAGCCGGTGCAAACATTTAGAGCTCTTACTACCAAAAAAGTAGTATCACAACAATATTAACTAATGAAAATCTCAATGTACAGAGGCGGCCCTACATATAGGCAAACAAAGATTGTGCCTGGGGTCCCACGCTTTTCAGGGGCCCCGCAAGAGAGGCCCGCTATTGAGCTTGGCCTTGGACCCTGCAATCTCTAGGGCCGGATACTCCACCTTTTTCTTTTTATAATTGACATAAAATTCAATTATAACAATTAAATTTATATGTATTATGCACCAACTGCACCTTTCGCAAGTGCTTAAGACTGGCTCTGAGGGCTAGTACTGCAGCTCTCATCGTCATCATTTAACATTATAGATTTGTTATAGTGTTTAGAAAATATCCCTGATTTGACATTGGACCAGGTTAAGACCCTTTTTTAGCGTTAAATGTTTGCTCTTTCTACTGGAAATAAATAGAGTTAAAGGTTTTACAGTTATAAATGTAATTGGGTGAAGGTGAAAGAGATATGGAAACAGCGTTTGTTGATAATACTTTTCAAAAACTACACTGTATAAATAGTTCCGTATAAAGTCACTTAATAGTTCCTAATTTTGAATAAAAAATTAAATTACTTGATCTTCTGGTTGTTTCTCTTGCGAAAAGCAGATCAAAAATTAAAATCAAATTTTGTTTTCAGCGAATTTCCCATATAAGGAGTAAGCTATTACAAACCGTAGGTATAATGGTAAGACCTGGACCCAGGACCGATTTACTTTTTCGTTTTGATGTCCTCAGTGGCCAAAAACACCATCCGTTAACTGTTGTAGTTTGCTTTTTTATGGATATATGTTGATAAAACTGGGCAAATTTATTTATTTTATACTAGCTAATAATATTTTTTCTACAAAAACACATTTTATTACCTTCCTTGTAACAGCAAACCTAGGTACTCGTTAAGCGTAATGTTATTGAAATAGATTTGAATGAAAATCAAATCAGGCAAATGGAAATTTGCTTAGTCTTTGCTGGGTTGGGGGTTTTAAAGTACTTTAATACCACAGAGAATAGTGTATGTGGTAGGTAATACAGTAACAACAAATATTAGAATGTCCTTCCAAATTCAAGATACTGTTCTGCACATTAACAACAAATGTAGGTTGCGTCTTGTTAACTGCAGGGGCAACCCCTGAGTGAGCACATTTTTGCAATACAGTAGTTGGTAAAAGTTATAGTTTCGGCCTCGCGGCTCAAGGCTGGGATATTGGCCGTATTGGCCCGAGGAGAATTCCCTGTGATAAGCAACACTGAATCGCGAAGTCAAAACCTTTTCACTTCAAAGTATTTCAATTTGTATTTCTTTGAAAAAACAATTGTTACGTTTGGGTTTTTATATCCTTATTTAGCTTATTTTGATAAAAGTTGGTTTATTAACTTCAGTTTATTGTTTACATTGCCTATTTGTTGCAACAATTTGATACTGTTGCTTTAATTAAATATCGTACTGCTTTCTCTGTTTTAACACTACTAACAAACTGCGCCCTTTCCTCATCCCTTCCACTTGAGGGGAAACAGCCGCTTCGTCAAGGGTTATAAGCGCGTGTTTAATCATATCTTGAACCATGTGGAAAATTTGCATTACTGTTTCAAGTGGTTTTAAACCATGACAAAGTAAGTAAGGTAATACAAATAATAACTTGTTTTTAGAAGTCTACGTGTAAACCACCTGATAATAACGTAAAAATAACGACATAAACGGTAATCCCATTCCTACATCTATACTAAAGAATATTTCAAATGCCTTCCAAAAACCATTAAGTTGTACATTAAACACAGTTTATTTCTGAATAAATACATATTATGTACATCTCAGTCGTCATACTAATCACAACAACAGACACACACACACACACACACAACACAGACTAAATACAATTACAATGATAAATAATTAGTACTTAGGCTTACATCAAAATTATATCTCAGATAGATATACATGTAGGGCCTACTCTTGGGGGCTGTTGTGTTGTTGGAGGCCCTCCACATTATTTTAAATTCACTATTTCCCAATTT